AGAGAAAATGATAACGAAATACTATATCGTATCAATCTTCCTACAGAACTGCATTTTGTATAATTTTCTCAGATATGAAGAAGAGAGTTGAGACAAAGATGACGCGGTTATATAGAAGGATAGTGAGAATACCCTGGACAAAATATGTGAATAACGAGAACATTTTAAAGAAAATGGGAATAAGAAACACACTTATATCTAATATTACAAAAAAACAATTGAAATTTTGTAGACGACATAATGAGGAAGAAGGGACTGAAGTATTTGACACCCACAGGTCATTGAATACCAGAGGAACAGAGAAAACCAATTCGTAATTAACCACTAGTGCAAATGGATGAAGTGAGAGAAATATAAAGGATAGCAAAAAAGTGATAATATGAATAGGAAGTCCTGAATGAACAAGTCACATAGAAATAGAAAAATAATAATATATTATCTATCTCTCTGTCTATATGAAGAAAGAATTTAACATAAATAAAAGCCAAGGAATATATATATATATATATATATATATATATATATATATATATATATATATATATATATATATATATATATATATATATATCTGAACTGCTAAAATGACTTGTATTTCCTGATATTTGTTGACGCTAGTGTAAACCATTATTAAGGAGATCCTCGAAAATAGCCATGAGGCATATGTTTATTTTAGTAAGCTAGTGTGTTGAGTGTGAAAGATAAAAACAAAAACGATGTGTATTATTATAGCAACATACACTAATGTTTTCCATGTAGTGACTTTTGTTTTTGTTAATGTTCTATAATTGTCATTTACGCATACATTTCAGTCATTCAAAAGAATTATTTATAAAATCGTCGAAAGTTTACCTAAAATAAAAGAGGAAACAAAAATCGATTATTACACCAATAAAAATCCGGTGTTGTCTTTAAACTTACACTTGGGGCGTTGATAAACACATCGTCTACCCCGCAAAAAAATTATAAGTTCAATGGCTGACTCATAATGCGTGTATTGGGCGTTACTTGCGAATTTGAGTATATACACTCTAATCCATACGAAACTTTTTCAGTGCATGTGGGCTTGCCAACGACACAGAACAAATTTAAGGTAATACACGAAAATAGGTAGCCCAAACAAACAAAAAAAACACGTTAAAACGATATAAAAGCCGACGGGCAGAGCAAAATGACTGAATGTAAACGACAAACGTGATGATAGAAAGTTATTTGTGCAAATATCTTAAAAGCAAACATGATCCTTGTCCTATGTATAAATTCCCAGAGGGAAATGATTTTTGCTTCCCTTTTCATTTTCTCGTTCCAGGCTTCTTCCCCTTCTATGTTTTCTACTATGTCTGTTGTATTGTCTCTGGATTAATCTAATGAAGTGAAGTGGGACTTTTGAAGGGGGAACAGATAATGAAAGAAATATTAATGATACTGAATGCTGAGGAAGACGAAAGACAAACAATTAACGGTAGTAATAAAAGATTTTTAAAAGGAAGAGCTTTGTAAATCCAGAAGAAAAGAAGAGATAAACTTGATATAATTTGCAAAGAAAGGGTATAAAAGAAAACGCAAGAAAAAGAGTTGATAACAATGAATGAAAGAAAACGAAATATTAATCTATTTTTTTTATCATTTTACCTCACGCATGGAAATAAAGCCACTAAGGCACAAAAGATTACTGAGTGTGGGTGAATATGTGAAAAGTAAAACATTATTAAGGAGCGTTAACAATAAAAAGAACAGGAATTAAAATGACAGACGATAACGATTGACATTGCATTTGAATTTTTCTAGATCAAAGTTGACTGGAAAGCAAAAAGCCAGAAGAGAGTTCTACAAGCAAGAAAATGTTAGCATCGGATGTACGGTTACTTCTAGCCATTTCAACTGTGAATAGATGTGACTTTGCAGCCAATTTAGTACTGCACTTAAAATCATAAAGTATAGGTATCATAGCAAAGAGTTCACTGAAACAATTAACGTGAACTTATTCACTGAAAAGGCAGAGGGAAACTACATTAAAACAATATAGAACTTATGGTTACATCTAGTCATTTCAACAGCAAAATTATGAGAACTTTCCTCCAATCGACTGCAACGCTTAAATTCATATAAATTCTTATAATCTCGGACCCAAAGAAGAAAGCTCATCAGAAGAAGTAACATGAAAACATTTATAGCAATATCACAGGGAAGCTACGTTGCGACGGTGGGAAAATTATTGAGAATCCAGGTCCTGACCAATAACATTGCAGATTCTACTCCGTATTTCATCAAGAATTTCTAAATACATAGCAGAAGCATAACGCCAGATGTTACAGCAATATCTAATGCGTGGACGAATGTTCGACTTATAAATGTCTAAGATAGATTCTAGCGAGCAAAGTTGTCTAGCAAGAGACAGTGAACCAATGCACCTGTCTTAGCAGTTGATTCAATATATTTCCACTTCATGTCAACAGGAAGTCTTGTGAATTAATAAGAATATGCTAAAATAAATATTAGCTTTAGTCATATATAATTTTTGTTTTGGTTTACCAAAAATAAAGTAGAATTAACAATTCAATTATATATTCATTATTATTTTTAGTAACTTGTCACTTACCATGCAGGTCTTTTGAGAAAAAAATCGTAGGTTTTGATATGAAAAGTTTTTCATTAAATTCGAGTTTTCATTGAATAAATCTTTCTTTATCAAAGCGTTTGACAGTGTTTAGCAAGTGTAATATTGGATTGGTGAAATGACAAGTCCGTATTGTGCGGTAAGTAGAACGAACCAACCATCTTCCAAAACATTAAGGTTTTATTCTTGCTACCTGTCGTCTGGAGCGATCATGGAAAGAACAACTTATTTTTCCTACTATAATTTTTTTGAAATCATCACAGTATTTAGTATGGTTGAAATTATTGCTAATATTTTCGCTGAGATCTACAAACTCTATGTTTCGTTGATTTTCACAAACCAATTGATGAAATTTGAATAAGGCAGACAAAAATAAGACATGATAAATCCTATGCGGGTATTTCCAGGCAATTTAGAAATGGTAATGCTAATGGTAACGCTAGTATTCTTAAATAGAATTTCCTTACAATGTGACTTTCGATATACATTGACCAAAGCTGTGTTACTTTCGGTTGTAATTTATAATTATTTTTCTAATTCAACAATTTTTCAGGAAAATAGGTTTCTCAGGCCCGGTAACTGTTATGGCTCTTTGCAGTACTGATAGCATTTTATTGCTAAAAATTTTGAAATGCTTTAAAACGCTAGTATCTTGATTATATCAGTATTTTCTTTTTGAGTTATACGTACAAACCATTCCAGTTGTTACTGCTGTTGAAAGACCTCAAGTGTTATGCATTCTGTTATTTTGCTACGGGTGTTAATTTCTGGTTCCGTACGCAAGTTTTGAAGAAGAATGGTCCTCACTCAAAAGTAGAGGTTTTATTTGCCCGATGTCATTTTTAAATATTGATCTGAGAAATGTTGTATACATATAAAAGTTTCGTTCCAACGCGGCTGCTTAAGAATATTAACGTTACCCGGGAAAATATCACGGTGTTACTGCTTTTCATTAAAAACAAAAATTTCTGCAAACTCTCCTAACACCATGAAATATAAAATATTTAAATATAGTGTTTTCTAGCATAATTAAAATTATATTCTATCGTAGTTATGACGTGTTGACAGCTGGACGAGCATGGTTTAATCCTGGATAATAACAGTTTATATATATATATATATATATATATATATTCATATATTCATATTCAAATAGCAGTCAAACTTGTGAACCTACTCATTTCTTAAGCCTTTAATCCACCTAGAAATAATTAATATACAATAATATGGAAATAATGTTTTTAAACTTATGTTTCATATATTTGATGCGCCTGGAGCTAATCTATGTGCAATATGTAAATGATATGTACACTCGATTAAAATATATTATAGCTGATAATAAAACTATAACAATAAAATATCCGTAGAAATTCCACTATCGCATTGTTAAATATTTAAGCTTTAGCAAAATATTGCAATAACAAGCATGTAAAGATTTGAAATTGAAAACTTTTTTCCATTTCACTGAAACAGATTTTAAACACTGCTATCTTCTCTTCCTTCCCTCCTTTCTTTCTTCCCTTCCTTCGTTCCTTTCTTTCTTTCTTTATTTTCTTCCTTTCTTCCTACCTTCCTCCATCCTTTCTTTCCTTCTTTCTTTCTTTCTTTTTTCTCAATGAAACCAACTATCGTTTTTGATGTTTTTCCACGCAAAACAACTGAAGTATTGTCAAGAGCCGTTAAACATTTCTATCTTTCCTTTTTCTTTCTTTCATATTTCTTTCTTTCTTTCTTTTTCTCGCCTAAACCAAGTAGCGTCCCTGCTATATCATCTCCGTGTTTACACGTAGTCAAAACAGAATAGTTTATTATATATGACGCATTGGCAATGCGTAATGATCGTGCGAGCTAAGGAACTAACTAATGAAGGGAAGGAGAAGCAAAATTATAATAGGTTGATAGCAGTTTTTAGATTAATGTTTTGGTTTTGTAGCAACATGTGGTGTTGGGCGAGACTCTCACTGACAACAATCGATGGAAAAGAAGGAAAACAAAGGAAAATGAGGAAATATATAACATAAGCCAATGAAGAGAAGCAGAAGAAATTAAATGAATAGAACTGGCTTGAATTAAAAACAAAAAAATTGTTACAAACATATTTTTATCTACTTCCCAGACGAATCAATTAACGGTCAATTAAGAAAATAAAAAGAATGGGAGAATATGAGAATAATTAGCAATAAAAAATATGTAAAAATATATAGAGAAACGTAAATAAAATAAAATAATAATACAGTTTCTTCATTTTTCCTGTTAATCGGATGCATAACAAATGAAACTCTATAGTAAATAATCCTTTAAGATTCAAAAGTGAAAATGGAGACTGCATAGACGTACCCACAAAGACCCACATAGAAATATTGGCATTTTCTCACTGTCGTACATGAACATATGTATAAACTTGAGTAGGAACAGCAAATCATTCAATCGCTCTTTCTCTTCTTCTTCTTCTTCTTCTTCTTCTTCTTCTTCTTCTTCTTCTTCTTCTTCTTCTTCTTCTCTCTTTCTCTCACCCTCTCACACACAAAATACACAGGCACACGCAATGCACGCATACATACTGACAGACATTTCAACCTTTGGCAAACATTATCACTTTTATTATGGTTGATCCATACACAATTTATCTTACTTCAGCTAAAAAATATGGATAAATGAGAAGATTGTGTTACGCTAATAATTTTTACATAAATCAAGAAATTAATTTACAACACGCTCCCTCAAAAAGGGTTCAATATGAACCTGATTAAAATGTCTTACCTTAAATCCACCTACTACTTCTTATTAGCCCCCCCCCCTCATATACAGCAGTCTCAGCGGTTTCTCCGTAATTCCATGCATTCATAGAAGACACAGTAAATTAGGTCTGAATGGGTACCTCGGTTGAGTATCGCCTAAAACAATCCGGCATCATTGATAACTTACAGGCACTCAAGATTGCTTTGAACCCGGACAAAGACCAAATGCTGATTTTCAGAAAAGACTTGATATAATATAGTTTCTGTCGGAGGATGCTGAGAGCAACATGGACTGATCATGTGAGCTATGATGTAGCTTTAGAGATGAACAAAAAAGGAAACCTGTATTAACAACAGCTAGAGACAGTTGAAATTTCTAGGGCACATTATTAGGAAAGAGAGCTTAGAAAATTTGACACTGACGGAAGATATTAAAAGAAAAGCAACCGTGGAAAGCAGTGCATAACATACATAACGACCTTGTGTAAATAGGTTGCAGAACAGGGACTAGGAGAGATAGTGAAATGACAAATTTTAAGAACCGCTATAAAGGTCAGGAAATTTAGGCGAGAATCGTCGCTCACCTGTTAAAGTGACACGGAACACAGAAGAAGATGCAGTTATGATACAGGATATTGGTCGAACATAATGTTCATACTTGTTATGAATCCAAGGAATTGGTTAAATAAAGGGTTATCGTCAAATAACAAGGAATCATAGTACTGATTACGAAATCGCAGTTCATTGGCTTAAGAAAATTCGTTTAGGAAACAACTGAATCCATTTCCCTTTTCCTTTTTTTTTTCCTTTATTTCATACAAATATTGAAGAAACTGAACAATAAACTGATTAAAGAATGCTTCACAAGCCGACACGTGAAGCATTTCTCTAAAATTTTAGATAAAAATAGATAAGAAGAGATAATTTCTCAAAGGCTAATCTAGTCTCACCGGAAATAAGTTATTCTTGATTTCACTTTCATTACTATAGCCCTCAGTATGTATACATGCATACGCACACACATACACACACACACATACGCATACACACACACACACATGCACACACACACATACATGCACACACACACACACAAACACACCGACATATATATATATATATATATATATATATATATATATATATATATATATATATATATATATAAACATTGAGTCAACACTCAGAGGTGTCAGGCTGTTTCTAGCATGATGCTTTGAGTTTTGACTTAAAAATTCACTTTTATATTTACATACGCTCCATCTCTGATATTGAGCACTTTCTCCCATAAATAGTGTACACAAAATTAAATTATATATATATATATATATATATATATATATATATATATATATATATATATATATAGCCTTGAAATTTTGTAACGCCATGTTCCTATGTCATATATCGAAGGAATTATGTTCAAAGTATTGAAAAAGCACTAATTTGTTTTGTGGCTTTTGTTCTTAAAAATGGTCATCAACAAATCTCAAATTCGATTTTATCCCGTACAGAATAATACTAAAAAAAAAATATATTTCAGAACGTTTCTTTTTTGATTTGCTATTGATATAATTGAATAATATTTATGAGATTTTAATGTATTTACAAGTTTACAGCTATAACATATAAAATTATAAATAAACGAAAACAAATTCTAGAAGGTTCCACGAAGTTCTAGAAGGCTTAAGAAATTATAGAATGTTTCTTAATGTTCGAGAAGGCTCCAGAAAGTCATAGTACTATTATATTGATATACGATATTAGAAATTTTGTGGTGTGATGACATTTTTTTGAAAATAAACCTGAATTAAACACCTCTTGATTGTTGAACAACAGTTCATCAAATTATACTACAGGAAATCAATTATTTTACCAAAGGTCAAAATGTCATAACGCTAATACAGACCACCTACACACACACACACACACACACACACACACACACATATATATATATATATATATATATATATATATATATATATATATATATATATATATATATTACGATAAACGTGCAATCAATTTACAAATACATGAATTATTCACACAAAAACTAATGCAAAGGTTAATGATTTAAATGGCGAGACATCCATCATCGCAAACAATTCAAATAATATACAAAAACCTCCGTATCCGTTATGAATGAAACGATCCTTGTTTATATAAATTTCTGCCGTATTAGTTCTTATTTTTACTACAAGCTTTCGTCTGTTCCTACAGACATCTTCAGGTATAGAATAGATGTTGTTCTTGTTTTTTCTCTTAGTAATAAGAGGACAACGAAAATACATGTATTGTTGTATCCGAAAATGCTATTGAAAATGAGTTACTGTTTTTGGAGCGCGCAAAAGCAACGCCGAGTTTGATTTTAAATTTTTAAAGTTGTGCGTTCATATATATATATATATATATATATATTCATTCATAACGGATAAATTTTTTTTGTATATTATTTGAATTGTTTTGATGATGGATATCTCGCCATTTAAATCATTAACTTTTGCATTATTTTTTTGTGTGAATATTTATAATATATATATATATATATATATATATATATATATATATATATGTGTGTGTGTGTGTGTGTGTGTGTGTGTGTTCCTCATGCAAAAGGAGGATTTTAACTTTTTTCTGCTATTTGTCTTGTAATCATAACCGTTTTCAATCGTCCAGCAATTGAAAAGAATGTGCATATGAGAAAAATGCATTTATTCTTGTAAAAAAAAATGAAGAAATTTTCATATTATATATTTATAGTTTCATATTACTTACCGGGAAGAAAGGAAAGCAATTCCGTTTTCTAGTTTAGACTGCTGACTGAGTACACTACTTTATGTACTTGTTGTAAAGAAAATATAACAGAAACCGTAACCAATGTAGTTGAAAAAATGACTGATATTGGTGCATGGGAAAAATGACAATAAAATATTTAGAATAAAAAATAAATTAATACAGACATTTCTTAGTTTAAACTTTGTGTAAGTTATGTGTGTCTACTTTACAAAATTAAGTAATTATGTTGTCATTATGACCAACTTCAATCATATTCTTGATCTTTTCATGGCGCACATAGGTACTTCAGATAGTAATAAATATTTTCTAATATGATTTCTTTCATAATTCATTATTCTATGCCTAGTTATTGATTTCCATTTTTAATGGTTGTTTATGAAAGTCGTGTACCAATTTATCTGATTCAAAATCTGTGAAACCCAAACAATTTTATAAAGTGAATATAAAATTACGACAATTTATTCTAGTAAATCATTTTTCTTTTTTTTTTTCTTTTACTTTCGTGGCAAGTTTGAAAGTCTATATTTAGCCATTTTCATATTTTCTTTCATTCTTATTCAATCGTATTCATGATTCAGCACTTCTTTCTGTACATCCTTTTCTTTTTTTCCAAACATATAACCACCTTAATTTCCTTCTTTCTGTCTTAATTTTTTTTATCCTTTCGCTTCACCAGTGTATTCATATTTCTTTGTCTTGTGCATTTTTTCTTTGCTTCAAGCGATATATTCATCTTTCTATCTTTTCACTAGTGTATTGATTTTTCTTACTTTTTCGACAATTTCATTCATTTTTCTTAGTTTCTAGCAGTGTATACATTTCATTTCCTCTTTCTTTGTTCTACTAGTATATTCATTTTTTTTTCTTTTTACTATTATATTCATCTACCTTCTTTCTTTCTTTCTTTCTTTCTTTCTTTCGTTCGTTCGTTCTTTCTTTTCTCTTCATTTCTTTTTCATTCTTTCTTCTTTCTCTCTTTCTTAATACAAATATATTAACGTTTTTAATTTATTTTTCTCTCCTTTCTCTCCTTCTATTTTCTTTTTCTGTATTTACGTTTGTCTAATTTTTCCCTCATTCTATGCATTTTCTTTCTTTCCACCAGTATATTAATTTCTCGTTCTTTCTTTCTTTCTTTCTTTCTTTCTTTCTTTCTTTCTTTCTTTCTTTCTTTCTTTTCACCACAGTATTGATTTGTGTTTCTATTTTTTGATCATCCTATTCTATGTTTGTTTTTGTTTCGTTCTTTCTTGCTTTACCAGTATATTCATACTTGTTTATTTATTTTCACCAGTGCATTAATTTTTTCCCGATTTTCAGCCATATTATTCATTTTTTCTTTCTTTCGTTTTTCTTTTCACCATTTTTCTTCCTTTCCTTCTTTCTTTCTCCGAATGTATTCATTTTTGATTATTTACTTGGAAGGTTGTATGCAGTTTTCTGTATTTCAACTGGGATATTCATTTCACTTCCTTTCTTTTTTTCTTTCTTTTCACCAGTGTATTAACTTTTCTTTCTTTTTTCGAAAATTCTAAGTAACTTCCTTTGTTTCATGTAGTATATTCATAATTCTTTCTTTCTTTGTTCTTCCTTTCTTTCTTTATTCATCCTTTCTTTCTTTCATCAAATGTATTCTTTTCACATACTTTCTCCCTTTTTAACAATATATTCATCTTTCTTTCTTTGATTTTACTTTCTTTTGGCCTGTACTTTTATTTTTGCTTCTATCTTTCTACGTGTGTTCTTTTCATGCTATACTTACCGTGTATTCTTACTGATTATTCTTTCACTATTTTATTCACAGACACTCCCCCCTCTCTATAACTTATATATCTATTCTCCATTCTTCTCTCTCGTCTCCTCTCCACGCAAAATACACAACAATAGCCTGTGTGCATTTATTTCCCATCCTTCCGCTGGTAAACCCACCAACAAACACCAATTGACGGCGGCGTCTATCCTGTCAAAGAAAATCTACCCGACAAAATTTTATTCTGTTTCCAGGTCGCAGCCAACAACAGTGTCTACCCAACACCATACCAAACCGCCAACTCAACCTGCCGTCGCACGTGTCCTGCCGACTATGAAACTATTGAAGATGCCGCTGGATTCCTGTATGAAGTTGGGAGTCGCGTTCACGTTCCCTCTTTTTGCTCAAACTGATACACGAAAATTCAGAGACAAAGACGATTTTACTCTCCGCTTGAAGTGCTCTCGAATCTAGACTAAGCCTGTGCGAATGAGCGTGTTGAGAGGTTTCATGCACGTTCGCCGACTGTCGTTACTGGCTGACCGCCAAAGGCTACGGCAAGGTTTAGGAGAAAGAACGAGTGGAAGATGTGGCAGCGGGATGGTCAAAAAGTGCACAGGGATTGAGGATTTAAAATAGAAAATTGGAGAAAGTAAGATGTGTATGTTATTGGGAGAATAAGAGAAAAATAAAATGAAGAGACGTTACAATAGGGCGTTCTAGGATGAGATAGACAGACAGATAGATATGATCAGTTTAACATCGAAAATAAGAATATGAATATATATATATATGTGTGTGTGTGTGTGTGTGTGTGTGTGTGTGCGTATAGAGAGAGAAGGAAGACAGAGAGAAAGAGATCAATCAATTTAATGTTGATAAGAAGCATATGAACACACACACAAACACACGCACGCACACACACACACACACACACACACACACACACACACACACACATATATATATATATATATATATATATATATATATATATATATATACACACCCACATATGGGTGATAGATAAATTAGGTAGATATGAACTGATTGGGATAGCTATTAGCTAGATAGATAGATAGATATAAACAAACTTTGTTAGATATATATATATATATATATATATATATATATATAATCAGGATGAGAAAAAACAGAAATATTGATATGAGCAAACTCTACATGCACACACACACAAGCGCGTGCAGAAAAGACACACACACACACAAAACACACACACACATACATACATACATATATATATATATATATATATATATATATATATATATATATAGAGAGAGAGAGAGAGAGAGACAGATAGAGAGAGAGAGAGAAAGAGCGAGGGAGAGAAAGATAGATCAGAAAACACATGCAAAAAAGAAAGAAAGCTTAAACATTGCAGGAGGATTCAAAAGAACAGAAAAGATGAAGTGAAAACAAAAGACAGAGTGAAAGATATAAGGAAGATAGAAACGATGAAATAGTAAAAAGAACGTAATAATAATAATAATAATAATAATAATAATAATAATAATAATAATAATAGGGTAAAGCAAAAGTTTTCCGATAAGCATAAGGACTACCCATACTCGAAATGGGTAGAAACGAGTGGCCCATTGAAAGGGTACGAAAGGGGTGATGTGGAAAGAATTAAAACTAGGAGAAGGGAGCAACTAAAATAGCCATAGTTTAAAAGGGTAGAGATTCAAATGCAGGTTTTGATGGTTGAAATCATAATAATAATAAAAAAAATGAGCGACCAGGAATCAAATGATGTTAACCTGCGGTAAACAAAAAAAAATCACCTATAACAAAAAACAACAACAAATACTTACAATAATAATAATGCAAATACTTAATAATAATAATAATAATAATTTAATAACAACATCGGCCAGCGCCGGTTACAGAAATAGAAGATGTCACCATTCTATGGGATTATACCATCCACACAGACAGAAAAATTGAAGCAAATAGGCCGGACATTATTGTCAAAAACCAGAAAGAAAAAAACTTGCCTACTAATTGATATGGCTTGTCCAGCGGATTGTAACATAGCAACCAAGGAATTTGAAAAACTATCAAAATACAAAGACCTGGAAATTGAAATAGAAAAAAAATGTGGAAATTGAAAACAAGAATAATACCAGTGGTAATAGGTGCACTTGGAATTATAAAAATGGAACAAAACAACACATTGAAAGAATCCCTGAAACCCCAGCTTAAGAGACATACAGAAAATTGTCTTATTAAGTACAGCACACACACTAAGGAGAACTTTGTCTATGTAACGCTAGCAACTTCATCGGAGATAAAAAAAAAAAAAAAAAAAAAAAATTAACATGAAATGTAATATAACAACACACCACGACCTGCCTTAGGTCTTTTCCGCAGACTTGGTAGGTAGTGTGTCCATAGCAGAAATCGAATGATGATGATAATAATAATAATAATAATAATAATAAAGGGAATTGGAGAGAGTGTATGAGAGTTTTATGAGAATACGATGGGTATTCACGGGCGGGGTAAAGGGTTGTATGCTAAGGGGACACAAGGAATAAATAAATAAAATTGGGCACATAAGCAATAATGTTCTGTTTCTTGTTACCAGACACCGGCTATTGTTTTTTGCATAGTCTTATGCCTGTCCAAAGCTTTGGGCATTCTGAACACGTCCAGGTTGAAGTTTTCGTCAAAACACGCTGTAAACTTGTTTTAGAATAATTACTCGAGTGATCGTCTGATTTGATGTCACTGCGGTGACGGTCTCCATACTTTATGGTTGTCAGTCGGTTTAACTCTTCGAATGTATCTAGGTATATCAGTCGAAGTTTAGGTTCCCTGTCGTAATTAGTTTTTTTCAGGCTGCTTCTTTCGATTAAGTTATCTGAGTTCGCTAGTGTGGTGAGTTAGATGCTGCTGTATTGTGGAATTGTACCAGACAAGATCGTGCCTTGTAAACAACTATATGCTGGCATTTCCTGTAGCGTTACAGAACGTTCGTCATTAAGAGTATGCGACACTGACAATGATAATCACAGAATAACCTGAAATTACGATTTCAGATTAAACTGAGCAAAACATTATTCTCTCATTCTTTCTATCCGTTCGCCTTACTTTAGCACCATATCTCTCTCCATATATATATATATATATATATATATATATATATATATATATATATATATATATATATGTATAGATAGATAGATAGATAGATAGATAGATGAAATGAAAAATTTGATAGATATATATATATAACCAGGATGGGATAAGCAAAAATATTGACATGAGAAAACTATACACAAACGCGCGTGCGCACACACAAACACACACACACACACAGAGAGAGAGAGAGAGAGAGAGAGAGAGAGAGATCGTAAACCACATAAAGAGAAGTGTGAGGGTGTTGAAAAAAGAAAGAATGCTTGAATATCGCAGGAGGATTCAAAAGCACAGAAAAGATGAAGTGAAAAACTAAACGAGAATATAAAACCAAAGACAGAATAACAGAAATAAGGAAGATAGAAATGGTGAAATAGTCAAAAGAACGTAATAGTAATAAGGTAAAGCAAAAGGTTTCCGATAAGCACTACTCTTCATTCGCAGATAATAGAGTTTCGTAACGAATCAGTTCGAGTAGACATCCGAATGCCTCAAGCCAGGATAGAAACCCGACTGATTTGGTGTCAGTAAGAGTTTCTACCCTGAGGTATCTTCACTTCATTTTACTGAAGAGCTTTGCATTAGCGCAGTTAGCTGTTGCTTATAAAATTAGCTTATCACTTAACAGTGCTTAACTGACATATATTTTCAAAAGCTAAATTATGTGAGTGTATGTGTGTGTATAACCTCTTTAAAAATTCTAAAATACTGATTAGTGATTTCAAACGAGCTCCAAATTCAAATTTCCATATTTGCATTTATTAACCAATCAGTGACGATATCTCAAACGCCATTCAAACTTTCAAAAAGTAGACCACTATACGAGTCGTCTGCTACAAATTTTGAAACATCACTCCAAAAAATGATTAACACTCATTTCCCTCCTAAAATTATGTATTCAAAATTGGGAAATATATTTATTAAGCAATAAACTTCTGAATTTAGTAAATCTAACTTTTAACTTCCTAAGAGCCGATTTTTTTCTAATAAAAAGCTTAGCGTAGTTTAACAAGATCAGTTGACGGCATAAACCTACCGGAAATGTAAACAATTTTGAATACTTATTTTCTCAAACATACTTATTGAGTTAAAGCGAGAATTATTTACAAGAATAAGTCACTTCTCGCCTTTAAGCAATTCATACAACACTCTAAACATAGGAATATAAATTAGCGAATTGTATAGCCATCTGATATTTTTCCTTAAAGTTGTAATCACGCAACACATTAACACTCATAAATGAATAAAAATTTTCGCATAGAGTAGCCAGATAAATATTCCTGTCGGAGGACACATATTTTCTAGGAAACTTTCTCGGACATTCAGGCCGATAAATGTCGTTAATACTGCTTATTATAATGGAACATTTACTTAAATATTTGTATCTATAAAAAGAACGTATACACATAAAAAATGTCTTAATATATATATATATATATATATATATATATATATATATATATATATATATAATCGACTCTCCTGTCGAGATTCGACGTATATGAGGGTCAAGCAGATCAGTTTCAGGAAACCGACAGCCCGACACCGGCACATGAGATTTGATTATAGTGGTGAAGGCGTGCAGGACCATCCACACTTTTTGAAGGGACGAATACAGAGACCTGGTGCACTGAGTGCCACAAGGTTCTCAAACGACCCTCCACAGGTTTTGAATTAGGAGTTGTCCTTCTTCTAGACCAGCTGCCATCCAAGGCTATAGAACCCAGTCTGTCCTGCTATTTTACCCATAGCTGGAGGGAGAGGAAGAG